CTCTCTCTCTCTCTCTCTCTCTCTCTCTCTCTCTCTCTCTCTCTCTCTCTCTCATATGTGATCTAGGATGAAGTTTCACTGTGTTGGTAAATATGATTTGAACTTTGATTCATAGGACATAAAACCTTGCTTGATTTCAACTGCAATTGTCTAGATTTTGTAACCTGGTATAACACTTAAGTCTCAGACTGGGATTTTAGAGGCCCTCACCAAATACTCTGTAGATGAAATAAATGATACCACACTTCAACCAATACCCCTTGCAAATCCTTAGAGTTGCGCCAAAGATTATTTCTTGAGCTTTTGAACTGTGATGCATTGCGAAAGAAAACAAATATTGGTGGAGTAATGATCGAAGAGTTCCTCACCCTTATGGTCTCACCCTTCGCCATTAAGTTAGTGAATAGGCCATGTTAATCCACTGTGTTATTGCATGCAGTGTGCCATGACTCACTCGGACTCAGGCGAGGCCGAGTTTTCTCGAGTTTGGTGTACAACTCAGGTATATAAAAAACAAATTTCAAAAAATTTTAATTTTTTTTAAGATGTTGGATTGTTTTATAATATTTTTGTATATGATTTGGATGTATTTTGGAATGACTGGACTGGTTTTTTGCCATAATCAATATTTTTATATTTTTATATTTTTCTCTTTTTCTGGAATTTTTTAAAGTCCCAAACTGTAAATCGGTTTTCTTCTAAATCCATTTTTTTTCTCTTGTTTTAACTTTTCAAAGTTGTTTTAGGTTTCAATTTACTTTTACTACAAGTTTTTTAATTTTTCGAATTTATTTATTTATTTTAAGGTTCAAAAGGGCCTGTACTGGACTGCACTGATTCCTGAGGACTCCACTGAGTAACTTGCCTCATCCGGGTGGCAATTTCCCTGGCCGAGGAGAGTCCCAGCACACTGATTGTATGCTTTGCCAGTGGGCCACACATAGTTGAAGAAATAGGTGGAATTGAGAATTCAATTTGGTTTTCTTATTTTTCTTCTCATTAAATTTCCCCTATATCCTTAGTAAAACAACTTGTTTAAGACTTGTTAGAAATCAGATATCCCAAATCTAGGCAAATGTCTACAATAGTGAAACTTGCAGACTCTGTTTCACACTTTAAAATGAAAAGTAGCTGTTATTCTATATGTTCTAACAGAGGCATTTCTCTTTATCCTGGATGGTTATTGCAGAATGTGGGAATTCTCTGTTGGCTTATACATGATCAATGTTTGGCCTGATTCCTTACTCCTTGCTGCTATCTATGGTGTTGTTGAAACTGCTTCCATTGCTTTGCTTGGTTCAAATGTTGGTGATTGGGTCAATAGAATGACATATAAGCAGGTCAGTGTCTCTTTCTTTGGTATAGCTTCAGTGTAGCAATATTAGTTCAGATGACCCTGTCTTAGCCAGCTAGAGAGTGATCGTTCTATGTCTTAGATTGTCATCGTATTTTTTTGGTGATTGGTTTGATAGAATGACATGTAGGCCGGTCGGTTTCTCGCTTTTTGATCCAGTCTTAGATAGCTAGTGACTGATTTTTTTTTTTGATCTTAGTTTACCTTTACAGAGAAATAAACTAACAATTGGGCATCTGGCACAGGTTCTTCAAGGTTGGTTGCTTACTCAAAACTTCTCTTTCATGTTAGCTGGAGGCACAGTGTTTGCAGTACTATCCTGTAATGGTTTGAAGTCCACAAATTTTCCGATATTTATGGTTCTTGTTTCTCTCATAAACATTGCTGGGGCCGTTGGTGCTCTTTCAACCCTTGCTGGTACGATCTTGGTACAGAGAGAGTGGTAAGTAATGGATTGGGTTAATCTAGAGAGGACAATTCTTGTATAGTATGGCTACTTTTTTGTTAGAGTAGCTTATGTGGTTTTTGCCAATTCTTTATATAAATGCAAAACATAAACCATAACAGGCTTGTGGGCTTTGTTGGTGACTACATGCCCAAGAGAAATTAGAAAGCGAATCAAGAATTCAATTTGGAACTTAGTAGAGAGGTGATCATGTGTAATATGGGGTTATCTTCTAGCAAAATGTGACTTAAGATAAATATATGGTATGTACCATGTTCAGAATCCATCTTAACTCTTTCTTGTACCAGATCGGACCTGGTCTGAGTGAGCGATGTTATGGTGATATGCATAAGATGGACTAAATTTCTACCATTCTTTCCCTGAGTGACTTTATGAAAATATTTGAGTATTTTCTTTGTTCTTGGCTTGCACTATTTTGCATCTTGCATGATTGTTTCATTTTTGAAAATTTTATTTACTTATCTATTGATCGATAAAATAATGTTGCCTATATTGAACAGTGTAATCCTCACAATTAAGATTTAGACATGGTGTTTTGTTCTCATCGTATTTTGTCTAATCTTTTTCTTGTTGCATTATATGGAACTTGTTATGAGGTTGGATTTGCTTATTGAGCATGAAAATATAAATTTGAAAGGTGGCTTGAAACAATGCAATGGGTGGAATGTCTTCCTTAAACATTATCTATAATACTTTCTCTTTTTATTTATTTGGCTTGAAGTTGTCTTAGTATGTATCATATATGGGTGTGTTCCCTTTGTGGTTGTCTAATAATGATTCTGGGTGACGTCTTCACTGCAGGATAGTTGTAATTTCAGGCAGCCAATCTTCTGAAATTCTGACCCAAATGAACTCGGTTATTCGACGTATTGACTTAACCTGCAAGTTGTTGGCTCCTGTTGTTACTGGATTTCTTATAAGCTTTATATCCCTAAAAGCATCAGCAATAGCTTTTGCCTTGTGGACTATTTTATCTGTTTGGTTAGAATATTGGCTTCTGTCCTCTGTATACCATGGAACTCCAGCTTTGATGAAGAAAAGTAGGCCAGAGAAGACTGCAAAAACCAATTCAGATGATTCTTTGAGTTGTTCATTAGATTTAGAGGAGAGAGGGGATTCTTCTTCTTTGGAACAACGAGTTCATTTAACGGGACAAAATGAGGTTCACACCTCAAAAAGGGGAATCATGACAAGGCTCTTGAAGCTTCCTACAATTGCTGGATGGCTTGTATATACTAGGCAGGATGTGTTGATACCTGGAGTAGCTTTATCCTTGCTCTATTTTACCGTCCTCAGGTAATCACTGTTCTACTTGTCTCTGAAACTTTGGTTTCCTTACGATTTGAATCTACTTTGTGATTTGTAATACTGCATATGATTGTTGTGATTAAATTTGATGTGATTATGAGAAATGGCCCACCACTTATATCCAACAGTTTTTCCCTTGTTAGTCTCACTCATCTATGTATCAACCCTACACTATGTTTTGAGTGGCACAAAAATTTTGATGTATCAACAGAGATAATTTTCATAGTCAGTTACTTGAAAAAGGTAAGGCAACAACCTAATAAATTTGGTGGCATGCTAGATTTTCCCAAAGATAACTGTTTGTATGGCCATTTCTTGCATCAACTACTGAGTCATACACATGTTGACAGTGTCCATAATTTCGTGTATGATTCATATGTCCATTCTTGGGAATATCTATCATGCTAACAAACATTATTACCAGATGTTGATCTTTTGTCAAGAACTCCTTAAATGTCTTGTTGGCATGAGTTTCTGTTCTTAAGAAATGTGGAAGTTGGAGCTTAAAATATTCAGAGATGCTTCTTGAATCATGAAATCCAACAAATTTCTAACTTCTAAATACTGGATGCTTCGGCAGAGTAGTTCAAAACTTGATGTAAATTGGGCTCTGGTTTCAAGAATTGGTTTATGAATTGTGCTTAGATTTTGCCTATGGTAGGAGAAATGGAACCAACTTTGGTTCCAAATTTTTAGAACATAACCAACATCGACTCCTTTGGCTGTTGAGGTATTTGCAATGGGGACTTTTAGGTTTTTGAGCCTGGTTTTGGGTTGTTGGGGGAGATTACTCGAGTTTGGATAGGTTTAGAAGGAAAGATGGTAAAATAGGAGAATGGGTTTGCTTGGTTACTACATGGAGGATTTGTAGGATCATCATCATCATCATAGCCTTTTCCCAATTAATTGGGGTCGGCTACATGAATCTTGGTCCACCATTCTGCTCTATTTAAGGCCATACTCTCAGTGAGGCCATAAGTCCCCCTATCTTTGTTTTTTTACTACATGGAGGATTTGTTGGATATGACTATGAAAACATTATAGCTTTTTTCTTTAAATTAGAAAGATAATAATGATGTCGTAGTCCAGGTTAAGGGTAAAGAGTTTGGAGGTTATTGGTATAGGTTTTCTTTTGCAGTTGAGGGATTTTAACTGGTGAGGTGGGGGCTTTGTTGCTGGTTTTGGGTTGGTGATGGATATTGTTTTGAAGGAAAGATGGTCAAACATGATCCTTCGTAACTACATGAAGGTTTTGATAGGATGTGAATGAGATCTCTTTAAGTAGAAAAAAAGGAATGGTTATACTCTTTTTTTTCCTGATATGTAAATATAAAATTTAGGGCTAATAAGATGTTGCTGACCATGTCATAGGTCGAGGGAGCTTGGAGGTTATTGATGTAGAATAGTAGAAGGTAACTTGTGAGTATGTGGAGAAATAGACCTCTCTCATTGATAATAGTTCAAATCCTAAAGACAATTGATTTTACGTAATGCAGTAGGGCCTTACATATTTACTGAATATTCATTACACATTCGATGGCATAAGTTGGGCCTTGGCCCTGGTTACCAGAGGATGCCACCTCCCAAAGGCAATTCTATAAGAATATCAAGAATGGTCTTTTCTAGTTTATGTGGCAGCAATCTAATAATGTGATGTGGTCTTTTCTTTTTTTAGTGATTGTGAACTATGATGACTGATAAATAAGAGTATAGAAACAAGAGACTATGCCCAGTCTTAACATCGACCTCTTCTTTTATTAACATATCATACAAAATATTTTTCTTATTTTCTTCGCATAAGTATTGCATTATTTTTCTTTCTGTAGTTCTTTATACGGGAAATTTTGATAACTAGATGAGAATCTAATAATTATCCTTTCGCCCTTTACAGCTTTGGGACATTAATGACAGCAACTTTGGAGTGGGAAGGGATCCCAGCATATGTAATTGGAATTGCACGAGGAATAAGTGCTATGATTGGTATATCAGCGACACTATTGTATCCAATATTACACTCACACCTTTCATCTCTTCGTACAGGACTTTGGTCCATATGGGCTCAGGTATTGCTTAGTTATAGAGAAAGATGAAGAATTAATTTATGATTTCATGAATTTCTGGTATTCTTGATACATATGTCTATGGTGGAGCACCTCACAATTTGATTAGATGGTTTACTGTAGTTTTTCTTTTGGTTAGACATCATGATAGATCTGATAGTGTTATTCGGTCTAGACTGAAAAAGCCATATGAAATTGTATGTTGGGATGCATAAATAAATTGTATGTTGCCATGGAAAGTGGATGGATGAGTGGAAACATGGTTTCTCCAAAGTACTTGCATAATATTATCATAAATAATTCATAAATAATTTAAGGCATACTTGTATATTTGTATGCAATGATATCCTCATCTTCAACTTAGCAGGAGTAAAAAAGAAAGACATTCTCATACCTATGAGGATATCTTTATCCTTATGTCTTTATGGGTATTTTGATTATTCTGGCCTTGTGTACACAGGCATAAATGTAATCTTCCTGATTAAGTTAATGAAATCCAGTTGCCCAAATTTCATATCATGTTAATATATTGGTGATAAGTCATTAGTGTACTCGTAATAAATTGGAAGTCGGCATCTTTGGGGATTCATAAATTAATAGAAACTATGTTCAATGAAAATGTGGTTTAAGCCTGGGAAAAGATAGATGATATTATATGTAGATACAGCTCTAGCACTAGGTGCTGTCCGATGCTATCATGGTATTTTGTTTTGATATCTACTTGTTTTTGAGCAGTGGTCCCTTTTATTGGTATCCATTGCTTCACTTTGGGTTCAAAATACATATTTGTCAGCATGGATGCTAATGGGAGGAGTTGCCTCATCACGTCTCGGATTATGGATGTTTGATTTGTCCGTAATACAACAAATGCAGGTACATTTCATTTTTAAGAGTGGTAAGCTTTCACAGCTTCTAATTATGACCTGAGTGATTTGTTAGGCTATCTAGTACCTTTTTTTGTGAAATCCTTATGTATTCTTAAAGTCGCAGAACTGAATATTATAAAGTTATATGTAAACATGTTAACTTGGTTCATGAATATTGGCTGTAGAAAGATTAAAATTGAAAGCTACAATCATCATCATCATCTAAGCCTTATCCGAACTATTTGGGGTCATGTTCCACCATTTTGCGCATATGTTCAGGATTCATGACAAGATTTGGCAAAGTTTTACTCTGGGTGGGTGCCCTACCTAACACAACCCTCCTCCTTTACTCGGGCTTGGGACCAGCATGACCAGCTTGGGGACAGCCAAGGCAGAGTTATGTAGAATTCAAAGTTACAATCATGATGTGGAACCTGCCATTCTATATTTTTTGGAGAAGAATTGTGCTCTCAATCAGCTCTCACTTTCTTATTTAATTTCATGATTTATATGTGCACAACATATAGATCTGTTTACACTATTGTCCATCAGCGGTCAGCATTATGACCTAGTTGCTCTAAAATTCAATTATATGTGTTATGATATTTTGTAGGTTGACTCTAATAGTTTACTTTGTTTCCTGCTTGTCCCAATAGAATCTTTTTTAATTGAACTCGTTTTTCTGAAATGAAGATTCCAATTCTGGATTATGTCATTGTTGGCCAAAAATATAACATGAATGAATTTTAATAACCATGATTCAAATGTATCACGATTTTTATTTTGGGTGGAAATTTTTATTTGGGAGGTACAAGACATTTATAATTGCTCTGATGTCTGTCCAGGATTCTGTTCCAGAAGCAGATCGTTGTGTTGTGGGGGGTGTGCAGAATTCACTCCAATCAATGATGGATTTGTTGGGCTATGTAATGGGGTTAATTATTTCAAATCCAAAGGTCATTTTGCAACTTATTTGCTCTATATGTATAGAAAAATTTGGACTAGCAATTGATAAACATTATATGACTGATTTTAATACCATAACTAAACTACGTACATGGGGAAATTGCATTTATTTGCATGTTATTCTTATCGAGCTGGGTAATAATGTAAATTTCTGCCTTGCTTAGTTTCCTCGATAAATAGCAATTTTATTCAACGATATATATAGAAAACATGCTATAATTTGCAGCAATATGCATTTGAATTACGTAGAGTACAAAGCTATAAATCAAGTAGCAGGGATGGAATCCACAATTTGCCCACCTTAAACCCACTCTCTCATCGCACATTGAATAATGGATACCTTCTCTAAGGGTAAAAGGTTTTGTAATGGTTAGATGGACTTGAAACATAAAATTCAAATTGTAAACCCATGAAGTTCTCCTGAAGTACATTCCTCTTCGCTTAGCTGATTTGTAAGGGCAAAGAATGGCAAAAATATGGAAACATTCAGAAAAAAGGCAACAATTTTTTGGAAAAAAATTGGTGTTGATAACTACAAAAACATTGTGAAAAGTTGATGATATTAACACTGATTCATACATATTTCTTCAGTGATTTATGTATTTAACAAAAAAATTTCAAATGCGATTTTTAAAAACTCATCTTTCGGTGTTTGAGGCACCCGTGCACCTGCATTTAGCAGGGGAAAAAGCTCATGGTTGGGATTTGGGGGACCTTGATTTAACTCATCTCCGAAACCTTATCCTAAAACACTTATGTTCCAATATACTGAGTCATAAATAGTTTTTAGAATTTCTATAATGTTAAATAAGGTAATTTTAAAATTTCTGCTGGGGAATTTAAAAATTAACTTAAACTCGACCAGTCTTCCTTCTGAGCTAAGTCTGAAATTTTAATCATTACTGATGCTTGAATGAAACCAATAGTAAGAAGCAAAAAAATTCAATTTTTGCATTTTTTACAGAAAGGAAACACTATTTTAATATGACTATTTCAGTTGATATACGTGCTTTCAGTAGTACATAAGTTCACTTTCTCACGTAGGCATGGAAACTAATCAATATTTTTTCTTTCTTTTTGTTTTTTTGTAGGATTTTGGGGAGTTAGCTATCATGTCATTCTTTTCAGTAACATTGGCTGCTGTGCTTTATAGTGTTCATGTGTACCACGTGCGGAGGCACCTTTTTCACTTCGACAAGTTCTTAAGGAAGTTCCATTGGATGAACACATCACCCTTAAATTAGAGGTCAGTTTCATGTGTTATACAGGTTTTTTCTGCTCATTTTTTCCAATTTTAATGTAGCTATGTAAGTTATTTATTAAGATTAATATGAGCCATCAAACCTTCATTTTATGTTATAAGCCATTTATTTAGGACAAACTATTGTTTGCAGTTTAATATATACCTTTTTATGGATAATTTAGTTTATAACCTTCATAATCGAGTATTTATGGATAGTATGCCCCATGCGTGTCCTCCCTAATATTTCATTTAGGTATGTTACATTTTGATGAATTTGATAGTACACAAGTGTTAAAAGAAGAAACCTCGAGCAGCTGGAACATTTCTGGTTGTAAAATTTCTTGTGCAAAGTGGTCATTTTGGGAAACTATAATGTTTAATTACTGGACTATCCGCCTGATCATGGCATGAAATTCTGCCAAAATTTTGTTGTTTTCCCATGTCCAGTTGCTTGTTAAGCAGGCATACTTTGCTTCAATTGTGGGAAATTTGTTCCTAAATTGACGCAGCGATATCTAGAGAAGAAGGATTCAACCACAACCACCCAAAACAACCTAGGAAAAATCCAATAGAAGCTTTGAAACAAGAGAGAACTATTCTGTGGTTGAGTCCTCAATGGTGCATGTCTTGGTACTTTCTTTCTTCAAAAAAGTGTGAAATTTCTTCATTGAAAATGAATCTCTCTGGCCCCTCACGTCAGGTCAGCACCCTTCTCTTTTATACATAAAAAACAAGAAAAATAAGAGACATAAAAGCCCAACTTCCCTAGCCCTACCTGACTTCGATTCAACTGAAAGACTCCATCTTTCATATCTATATGTGATTTCTAGTTAGCTAAAGGCACCCTCTTTCCTATTTCCCATCTCGCTCTATATAGCCTTTGTATGCCCCTCATCCAATCCCACAAAAGAAGGAAACATGCATCGCTTTGCCCAGTTCTTACCTAGCTAAAAGGTCTCCGCACTCACTCATAAAATTGGATATCCCCATCAAAATAGAACCTCAATGACACATTTTGGGGAATTCCATATGCCATGTCACTTTTAATGAAATCCTAGCACTTCCTAAACGACAATGCTACCTTTTGATAATTAAATTGTGACACTAACTATTTTCTTAAATTGCCCCTAAAATCCCAACAGAACTAAACATTCAAATAAGCTCTGAAAACCACAAAAACGATACATCCATTAATCCATAAAATCAAAATCCAAAGTAAACCAAAGTCTCTTCATCTAGCTCCTGCATCAAACATTTAATGTGAACGCAAATTGATTGATGCAAATTTTATGGAGATACCTAATGTCCACCATAGTAAGCAAATCGGTGTATTAAATGCATTTTATGTAAAAAATTTGTAAATTTACAAGACTGTTAGAACTCCATTTTTGAAACTATCATTAAACTATCAGATTTTTTTGGCGAAAATTCATTAAGTGCATATTGTATGGGTTGTTAAAATTACCTTTTTAAAATAGGGTTTTCATTTTTTTTTATCATGTCAGCCAGAAGTCTTGAATAACATTTTTTTATTTGAATTTGAAGTCCTCATTTTTTGCTAGTTAGATGCACTTACTCACAAATTAGATTTTCTTAAAGGTTCATTAGAAATAATGTGCCAAAGTATAATGTTATTCTTGACCCATTGAGAATCATAATTCCTTAAGTTTTAAATTTTCAAAAGAAAAAGTAATTAGTGGACTGATATCATGGTTGGCAAAAGCTTTTTAAATTTTCTATCTGCCATGCATTTTTGGGACTGATATCATGGTTGGCAAAAGCTTTTTAAATTTTCTATCTGCCATGCATTTTTGGGTTTTACTCTTTGTAAGATTTTGTTAAAAAAGGTGTGAGTCCAGACCTAACTTGTACTTTAAAAAAGAAAAAATTCACTTTTTGGGGCCGTATATTTTGGATCTAAGCTGTATAGATCCCATCTTTGTTTGTCATCTCCTGTATGTCTAACTATGGCGTCCACCAGTATCAGTTATTGTTTAGGCTGAATTTTGATAAATTGTGGATGGATTCTGCCATGTGTTAAGAAAGCCTGCCCAAATTGAATTTATACTACTAATTTCCTCTTGATTTCAGTCAATGGGCATATAGTTTCAGTTTCAGGCATCACTACAATAGGAATGAGATCATATGTTCAAAAAATGAACTTGCATTTTATGTAAATATAACTGTTGAAGTTGGAAGTATCTAGGTTATAGATTATTGTTGAAGTATCCTATTTTTATTTCCTCTGTTATTTCTGTATATGTTCTTGAATCAAAAGGATCTACAAAGAAACTATGTTTTTTAATAAAATGGCCCTAGTTACACATCTTCTAAGAAGAAAAGACTAATCGGTTTTACCATTTCTAGGCCTAGCTCTTACACTCCACACACACACATAGCACACGCGCAAACATACAGACCTACACATGCCCGTGGACACACAGACACACGGATAATGCACACACACATACACAACACACACATGCAGAGAGAGAGAGAGAGAGAGAGAGAGAGAGAGAGAGAGGGCAGAAAGAAGATGGTGTTTTTATTTATCTGATCTTAAGAAGTACATTGGTTTTGAAGATCTTCAAAACCAGTGCTGTTATGTAAATCTCCACTGAACCTATGTTTTCTTAGTTTGAGTTAAATAAGCTTTGATTAAATTAAATTGAACAATAACATTGCTAGCAAGTATAGGACGTGTAGAATCCTTTAGGAGAGAGCAACTTTCTCGAGAAGCAAGAATAGCATCTTCCAGTGGAAGAAAACAGTAACAAATTAAAAAGAAAACACTTTTCTTAACACTTTGTTGGGAAGCTCTCATACCTCCACTTTTTGCTTAACTTTCTCTAGCCTGGAAAAAAGGCAATAGTTAACTAAATGATTAATAAACATAATCATTTCAATAATCTATTAGAATGCATCATCATTTTTGGCTTAATTATCTCAAAACTCCAGCTACTCGGCTTGGCACAACTGTAATCTTATTGCAATGTCAAGGTGTTATTTTGCCTGTCCCTTATATTTTTCAGAGAGAGAGAGAATTGATCCTAGTTATGTGTGGTTACCACCTGTCTCTTCTTTTAGGAATGATGTGCTAGTGTGAATGCTTCTTTAACTCTAAGTGGAAAAGATGTGCCTATGACTTTTTTCCTTTTCAGTAGTAGCCCCACCGTTTTGTCATTTTGCCTTGAGAAACTAAAAGTTGCCCAACCCCAAGAAAAGAATCTCTCAGGCCACCTATTTAAACCCAATCAATTCAATTTTCTAGCCAAACATCATATCTCCTGCGACTCTCCTCTCTCTAACTGAAACCCTCTGCTCAACTCTGTATTTCCACTATCCGAACATGGCTGTGAGTATCTGATTCCAATTGAATGGTTTACTTCTTTTTGTTTCTTTCTCTTCTTTTTCTTGTTCACTTGTTCTTCTTTTATTGAAGATAGAGAAATATGGTGGTTGTACAGGTGGTGGAACTCAGAGTGGGCATGCACTGTGAGAGGTGTATCAAGGCGATCAAGAAGGCAGTTAAGAAGATCGAAGGTAGGCGATGAAACCCAGTTTAGGATTCGATTAATCTAATTCTTAACTGAGTTGATTGTAATATCAAGAATAGGAAAAACCCATTTCAGAAATCAATTGATCTACATGATTCTTTATTTAATCTAAACAATGTTTTTTAACTCACCTCAGGCCTCGGACTTGACCCGGGCCGAAGGGAGTAACTTGGCTTGTCTGAGTAGAGTACAGGGCCCAAAAGGCCATAATTTTTTAAAAAATAAAAAATTGTTTAAAAATAAAATAAAAATTGTAAAAGTGAAACAAAACCAAAGGTAGCATAAAAGTCCAAAAAAGCATGAAAATATAGAAAACATGCATGTAGAAAAAATGGTATATGTTTGGAGACAATTTAGAAAGACCTATTGAAAGAGAAAAATATAAAAATGGGCCATATGACAAGAAAACCTCACAACCCATTGTAAAAAATATCTGAAGTATGATTTCTGTTTTTATATTTTTTTTACACTTTTTTTAATCTTTTTAAGTGACCCAAGGTGTCCCTGAGCACTCGGCTCCTCAAGGAGCCAAGTCTGATTCCGAGTTTCAATCATTGAATCTAAATACACTCTCTATGACAAGTCAATTGAACCCAGTTTAGATTCTTTTGTGGAAATGAAAATTTGGCAGTTTTTCGCTGACATCTAATTCGCTTCATGCCTATGATGTGCAGATATTGAGACATACAAGGTGGACATAGAGCTGAAGAAGCTCACAGTTACAGGGAATGTAACAACTGAAGAAGTCGTCAGAGAATTGAATAAAATTGGGAAGCCTGCAACTGAATGGTGTGATGAGTAGCTGCACTCACCAGTAGAAGCTATTAGAGGTCTTATGAGAAATAGGACTGGGTTCATTGATGGTTATTTTTTGTTGTATAACAAATAAATATGTGGTTAAATTTTATAAAGGAAAATTTGTTAGCCCATTTTCTTCTTGTATAATAACAAGCATTTTCTGAAAAGCCCTGGTATTGTGCTTTTTTAGGTTGGGAAGCTCTCTCTATGTCATTGCATGATTTATGGGATGGCTACTAGTTCTCAAGAAATTAGGGACTCCAACTTTTTGTTTTTATTTTTACAGCAAGTTTATTTTTTCTTTATTGTCTATGATGGGAAAGCTTTGATCATCTTCTAGTAGGTAAGATCGAATTCAAAACTACTGCCGAGGGCCTTTCAAATACACCGTACGTTTTGGAAACCAGTTTTAATATCAGAGTCTCAGCATCGTTTTCTAGCTCTCCATGCACCTGCGTGTGCGCCTGAGAGAGAGACAGAGAGAGAGAACACTTTTGTTGGAGATTTGACCATGATTAACTTTAGCAAGGTCACCCGATTTTTATTCTGCCAAAAGATATTCTAGTCCCACTGGAGTAGACTATTCATTTACTTCTCCGGTAAAATCCCAATTTTGGGACCCTAAATTTTGGGGATGTGACATCTTCATCTTCAACTGATAGATTAACCTCAATAAAAAAAAGTCATAAGTGTATCTTTTATTCACTTGAGAAAAAATAATGTCCCAAGATTGAATGGAAACCATTTTTTTTTCTTAGAGGGTAAGATTTTCGTAGAGCGTAAGATCTAAGTGTTATAAAACTCGAAGTTTACATTTTTTATTTTTTTTAGAATAATCATCTTGTAATTCCTAAGTAGTTCCCAAAATTTCTAAAAAAATCCCAGCAAGTATATCTTATGACCAAGGAAGAAGTGAACTATGCTCCTGAGGGAGCATAGTATTCGTGTGCTTTTATTATTGGTTAAGAGCCAATGGGGCGCACATAAAAAATCATTGTTTTCATAGTTTTGGGGACCCGAAAAAATGTAAAAGTGTGTGCGAGGTTTGTACAAGGTGACCACCTTTTATGCTGTGCAAGTAAGGTGCACTTATAAATTTTTCCAAAAAATTGTAGTTCCAGTATTGAAAATCTTACGTAGTTCCAGTATTGAAAACCTTACAATGACTTGAAAATCCATATTCAACCCTATAAAACCCAAAATTCTAGAAACAACTGCGCGGATCGAGCAAATCTATATGCACATGAAAATTTTGTTAACAGATGATCCAAACAACTCATTACAAGATGCATTATTTTTAGAATTTGAAATTTTTTTTATCCTTTATATCCATATATCTCGAGGTTGAGATGATCAATAGAAGGTTTTCTAAATTCAAAATACCAGGATTTATATATATATAGAGAAAATCCAAAATTCAAAAATCCAAACAAAAACTACTAAATTTTAAACAATGTCAAACAACTATGACCACTTGATGGACTTTAGATGGTTATGAGTCAAAAGCAAAATAACGTAGAAATTTTCCCATGAGTATATATATAAGTAATCATTCTCTGAGACCCTCTCACACCCATGTGTGTAGGACCCCAACGGATCACCATTAAATATGCCACCCATCTCTAGAAAAGTTATTACATAGGTGTGGGACTTGACTTTTATAGAGATTTGTGCCAAATTTAATGGTGATCCTTTGAGGTCCTACACACATGGGTGTGGGAGGGTCTCATAGGATCATTACTCGTATAGATATATATATGGATAAACCTAACAATAAGTATGGACCTAAAATGAATAGCAGTTTAGATCATGCTCCCAACCATTCACATCTTGATCAAATGGGTTGAAAATATATGTTACTACTTGAATTTTAATTTTTCATTTTTATGAATTGAATCAAGATGAAATATTATACATGTGTACTACATAATAGAGCCTACAAGAAAAAATATAAAATAAAGATCTTACAAATTTTAAAATAACCAAACTACTCTAGAAAAATGACTGGGGTAATTTGATAATGTTATATTTTTAAAAATATTTTTTTTTGGTAATGTTAGATTTTTAAAAATAGTTTTATTTTGTTTATATTGTGTGTGATAATGTACATACCTAAAACTTTTGATTAAAATGATTTGTAGAAAAAAAATTTAAAATTTATGTAGTAACATACATTTTTAATCATCTGATTAACATATGGCCATTGGGCCATGCAGTTACATGGGTTTTGGAGGAAGAGGCTCGGAATTGGCCACACATATATTTAATAAAAATACCATTTAAAGGGGTTAAAAGCTCCTAACAAAACCATTAAAGAGAATTGCCATTTTAAGGGCCACTTTTTCATCTTCATTTTATTAGTTACCTCATCAAAAACATCTTAAAAGATTCTCAACCTTGTTTAGGGTTTGGAAGGATGAACCATCAATAGTATTTAGCAATTTGACCCCCGACCAGATGACAAATAAAGATCCGATTGGTTATGGTTCCTAATGAGAAACAATAAGGAGTATTATGTCATTTGCTACATCCAAGGCATTTGGGTGCCAAATAAGAAAAATACTCCTAATTGTTACTCAGTATTAATAATGATTAGTATACTTATTATTTATAAACCTGAGCAAGGAGATATATTTTTGTTATTCGGTTAGGACCTCTGGTCAAATTACTTAAATGCTCCTGATTGTTCATTCTTCCCAATCATAAACAAGGATAATTTGAAAATTTTAAATTTTTTATAGGATGTACCCAAGTGAAATAAAAAAGAAAAAAAAATTCCCCTCCTCAAATATTTCTCAAATGTTAATTGCGATCATTTAACTTTTAATGATTGCATAAAATATTTCAAAAGCAATAATGACATTTTCCTTTAATACATTCTTTTATTATACAAATGTTCCTTGCTCTTGTGGGCATAGTATTTATTTGTTCCCTCAAGTACAACCCAAGGAGTACCTTTTAGGATCTAAAATTTCAGGGACGCAACATCTTGAACCTAGTGACCACACAAAACTTTTCCAATTTGTCTCCACGGGTGCCTGAAAATTTTCAATCCAACAAAGACCATCCAATATCTGGACAGTTAAATGTCTAAAACTCAAAATCTATGTTTTTAATAGTAATAATCATCCGATGATTCTTAAATAAATCTTATATTTTAAATCTAGAAAATCTTTGTCATTATCCTATTGCTGGAGAAAGCAGACAGCAAGCATGTACCACAGTCCGTTCCCAATTATTGCCGTATCAAGAAGGAAAAAAGTGGAGAAGAAGCACATATCCGCGCATATTTTATTTGGGCCTGGAAAAAGGAGTTCCCTTCCTGTCCCTTTGTCAAAGTTAAAAACAATGCAAAATTGCACTTTTTAGGGGCACTAAGCAATAAAGTCAATTGATTTGGCGTTGTTTGACAAATACGACCACCCACGTAGCTAGTTATCATGTTGCGGTTTCGCACCAAACACTGACACCTAATTTAAAAGAAAAAAAAAAAAGCCAGTCATTTTTTCTCATTTAATTGTCCAAAAAAAACTCTTCTCAAAACACACATCAATCAACAAAATAAAATTTATTAAAAGTACTTGATGAACCATTCAACATTTTACCATATGAAATTATTCCCCCCATGATCGTGTCTTTTTATGGGTACCATTTGGAACCGTTCTACAAATCATCATGTCTTTTTATGGTATTTTGAAATGAAATAAAAAATATAGGTAAGATGTTAAATAATTCATTTCGCATAAGTAATACCCTTAGATAAGGGAAAAGTTTATATAGAGCCGAGGCTCTAAACAAATCAAATTTGAGCCTATCTCAAAAAGTTTACTAAAAGAGGTTGTTTTGATGTCCAAATATCTTAAAATTTGATCATCTCGACATCAAGATGCATGAACATAAGAAAAAAATGGATTTCAAGTTTTGGAAATAGTGTATTTTATAACGCATTTTTTAACCATCAAATTTCAAGATTTTCAAGTTTTCATAGATCTGTTGATCTACACTATTTTTTAAGCTTTGAACTTTATAAATAAATATGAAAATATATTTTAAGGCAATCACAATGATTTCCAGTAGTGAAACTACATTTCTCGACATTATTTGAAGGTAGGCTCTAATTTGATTGTTTAGAGCCTAGGCTCTATACAAACCGCACCCATTAGATAAAGGGTGCCGTTTGTATAGAGCCGAGGCTCTAAACAATCAAAGTAAAGCGCACCTTCAAATAGTATCGAGAAATGTAGTTTCAATACTGGAAATTTTTTGATAGCGTTAAAATATATTTTCCTCATTGATTATAAAATTTAAAGCTTCAAAAATAGCGTAGATCGAGCAGATCTATGAAAACTTGAAGATCTTGAAAATTGACGGTCCAAAAATATATTACAAGATGCACTATTGAAGTCGAGATGATCAATTTGAGGATATTTGGGCATCAAAACAACCTCTTCAAGTGAAATTGTTGAGGTTTGCCCTAATTTAATTGTATAGAGCCTCTCACTTATATAAATGTTTTTCTTAGATAAATTTCCATAAATAAAAAGAAAATCAGATGCCCTCCCTATTCTAAGTGGGCTAACACCTACCAATATTTGGATTGAGGGGAAAGCAACGGGGATTCCCTGGCCAAGGTAGGTAGGGTGTTCACCCACATAATCACAATTAGGGGATGGGCTTATCAGGCTTGAGCCTGGCTTGAAACGTTTTTTCGCTAGGCCCAAAGTGTTAATGACTCTATATAGGCATAGCCCATTGTGAAACAATGCCATTGAGGCCCAAGCACACCAAACCCAAACAAATTGCTCAAAATTTAATAAAATAAATGTAAATTACTGCATTTTATAGTAAAAAAGGATTATCGTGTGTTGGGATATGGATATCTCGGATTCATATTGATATGCATCATTATGAATGTATGGATATATATTTCTTGATAAGGTTTGGTATCTAGAAGATAGAGACCAAGTTACTTGGTCATCAAGTTATCATACCATATTTATCTCCTCTAATTGGGCTTTGGATTCGTGTAAATGTTGTTTTTCTCTTCTTCATTCTCCATTCTCCATGCAATGTATGTATCATTTACTAATCTAAAAAATATCTCTTGATGCGGTACCAATTGGATTTTCAATGGAGGAATTACAAGGATATTTAGAAATAGATAGACCCCATCAACAACGCTTCCTATA